ACCTGGCAAGATGTACATGGCACGCTATGAGCATCCAGTATTAGATCCAGAGAGAGGATAAAAAACAATTTACCATAGGGAGACACAGGGCCTGCTGAAAGACTAACTTACCTGTATTCTTTTTTTTTTACACATCAAATGTTAATGGACATTCCAAGAACTACTAGACATCATAGTAGAACAGCTAAAACAGTATCTCTGCATGTTAATATTGAGCTTTAAAGGAGGGAAGGACTATTAAGTTCAGAGGTTTTTAGATATATGAGCTACTGTACATTTATCTCTAAACATCAGTTATGCAGTTGTTCATAAAGCAGTGAATACCATGGTCCTAGAGTTGCTTTCAAACTTGGTCTATATTTGACTTTGGCTTATGGTATATAGAACCCATTTGCCAGAAAAAAAGAGTGAGAAAAGAGTCCAAGGCTTTGTAAGAGGTGAGGTGAGAGGGCCAGGTTTCAGGGGTTGGGTTTGCCTTTAACAGCCTGGCAGTAATTATGAACTGCCTCTTTTAGTTCAAGTGGGCTGAGTTCTAAACACTGGTGTAGATAAGGGCAAGAAGGCTGGCTGTGAAAGTCCACCTGGGTTAGTTTGTGATGCTTGCTCTAGACCACAAGACCACAGTCTCTTGAGCTTCTTTGTGACTTGCCACTTGATCAGCAGAGTATTCCTTTTTCTCTGTGTTTTTAGTCACTGGCTTGTCTCTTTGTGTGCATGTATGTGCATGCGAGTGTGCATGTGTCTCTCTTAGTGCTCTCTAGTCCCTGTTGACTTTCAAAATGCCTCTGTTAATTATTCACCAGCTTGGTTTTGCAGTCCTATACCTAACTCCTTCTGTGCTTTTTGCTTTTGTTTTTTAGACCCAGAATGTTTGTTTTGCACCCTCATATCTAGTAATGGGGTTCAATAACATTTGATCAAATCTAGCTTTTTTTCTGTTATTTTAATAACACAAAATGTTGTTTTAATTGTGATTTAAGGACCAATTTCCTGACAAGCATGCCACTGACATTTGCATAGACCATCCAATTAACAAAGCTTAAACCATGGACATTCTGCTGTGCTCCAAGAGTTGTAGGGCTTTTACTGCATATTATAACCCTGCTCTGTGACTTTGATTACCCCTGTCCTTCCTCATTTTCCCTTTTGCTGTGTTTGCTCCTCACCAGGGGGCTGGGCTCCAGCTGCAGAAGCCATGGAAGCTCAAGTAAAAACCGCTCCTTGAAAATAATAGCAATTCTACTTTATCATTCAGTGAACATTAATTAAATAGTCCGCTGATGTCTTTAATTCAAATTGCACTTAGTGCACTCAATGATTTTGGAATGTTTAAGCCAGTTTGTTGTGTTCGTTGTTTACAACAGTGTCACACATTTGTATACATCGTCAGCCTTTTTTCTTGCCCATGCGTCAGATGAAGGCTTAACAGACCAAATAGAGAACATGAATGGCAGCGAGGCTTAACGAATCCTGGTCGTTTTACCAACTTTAAACCAGATTCAAATGAAACACATCTGTGCCATTTCTCCCCTCCACACACAGAAACGGAAAACCGTATTGGTGATGATGTGGACTGTGTTCCTGAACCAATCACAGCCAGACACAACACTGTTCCTTCGTTTCCTGTCATTACTGTGTGTGTACACTTATAAACATGTTTGGTTGTCATTCTTTGTGGGGACTTTACATTGACTTACATTGATGAGCATAAACAGAGAGCATCAAGTTTTTGATTCAGAATAACTGTAACCAGCCCTATGAGTCAGTTCTTAAAGTGAATATATCCCATGGCAGACGAACTGAAAGGTGCCCTGTGGAGTTTTATTGAGCAGTCACTATGTTTGCTTATTGTTTCTTGGTACTTCTTTTCTCTGTCCACCAACCTATGGGTGGGATGAGTGAGTCACATAGAGCCTGAGTGGACAGTGGATTGGACTTTCTCTGTGAACTGTAAGGTCTTGACCTTACTATCTAAAGTGCCTTGAGATGATTTTTGTTGGGATTTGGTGCTATTCTAAACTGAGTAGAATTGAATTGAGTTAAACAAAGAACTTATGTTTACATTTGTGTTATTTACCAAAGCACACTGTGTGTATCATGAGGTCTAACACAGGTTGAATATTTTCTTCCTCAATAATGACATTGAATGTATTATTCAATTACTGATTTTGGTCTATAAAATAATCTTGTAATACGGTAGTGTTTTTAGCCATGTTGGTCGGCCCTAGTTTAATGTTCTTCTTTGCTCGAGCTGTGACACTGGTGGGCTATCTGTTGCTTGTAAGGATTAGTGTGTTGTTAACATGTGCATAGATGCATGCTCTGTGTACTGTAGCTGCTTTGGTTTTGGGTTAGTCATGTTTTGAGAAAGACAAATTGTGTATGAAAACACATGGAGATCACACATTACAATGTCCTGTTTCCCAGCGTTAGTGTGTAGATTGATACATTTTGGCTGCGTGTGGTACTTTCTGTTTGTGTGGCAGTATGCTAGGCACTGTCATGGATGTGTTTTGCTACACCTAAGTGTTTGTCTCGCTACAGCCAGTGCTTTTTCCAATCCATATACAGTAAACTGCACTCAGATATTACAACTTAAATGGTACTATAATAAAACAATGAAATGATCCTATTAAGTATTGTCTGTGGGTCTGGAGCCTGATTGAATCATTTTTGCTCTGTTCCATAGACATCCAGTATCATCACAAACGTAAAGTATATAGGTGCATTTTGATGTTATACTTCTTCGCTGCAATGAACACAGCCAGTTAAAGTTACCCCTCTGAGCAGTGTAAACACAGAACTCACCGGTGAGAGAACAAGCATGCAGTCACAGAACTGTTGGAGATTAAACTACACACTGACAGTGCTCCTGATGACGAAGAAATTATGCTACTTAGTACAGCAGTTTAGCTATTTAATGGGTTTTGAATACAATTTGGACAATTTTGGAAGTCTGTGGCATAGCTTTTTTATTTGCATTTGTGGATTCTCATTGTGATAAAATAGCCTTCTGTAAACATAGGAAAATATAGCAAATGTGGGTTTATGGGGTACTGGGTTTGCCTGCTGCATGCCCACCCTGTAAACCAGGGAATAGCAAATGTATTATTATTATTATTGGTGACATTATTGTCTCTCTTTCTTTCACTACTTCAGTCTTCTCTGTTGCATTTGAGTACATGAGTACAAAAGAAGACAGTGAAAGTCATTGTGAGGAGCTCAGAATTTGAGATGCAAAGGATTATAGTGTTTCTCCTACTGGAACAGTTTTTCAACCAAATTGATGACTGTCAGATTTTAAATAAACATAAAATGTTTGTTGTGTGACCACACTACGTAACGTGTTACTGTGTGCACTGGGCTAATAGACACACAATGCATACAGCAGAAGAATGGAACAAAATGACACCTGACACACTTCATCACTTGGTGTCCTCAGTCATTAAATGTCTTCTAAGTGTTGTGAAAAGGAACAGCAATATCACACCGTGGTAAACGTTTTACCGTCCCAACTTTTTTGGTATATGTTGCAGGGATCAGAATTAAAATAAGTGTTTATTTTGAACAAAGAATAAAATTGACGAGGTATCACATCAAATGATGTGCTGCTGTATCGTTTTCAATGTTATACAGCACAGATGATTTACATATCTCTATTTTCAGTTTTACTTTAGATTTTACATACTTCCGATCTTTTTCTGATTTGGGGTTCTAGTTTTCTAGACGTTAGATCTTTTTGATTTTAAGTAAGCAATCTTCACTATTTTTATGTCACACATTGTGCTACTTCTGGATGCAGATTACTTTTATCATCATTGATTTTTGTTTAATCATTCGATTTTATGTCCCATCTAATCCTATCGAACATCATTCTCATCTTTCAACAGTGTCATTTGTGT